TCACATCCAGAATGATTTTTCGTAATGTTTTCTCTAGTATGAAAAATTAACTAACTGTAATGTGAAAGTCCCTTGGATATTTAATAGCTACCTGATGATCTGAGGAATGTATAATTTTAAATAGTATTTTAACAGTGTAAAAGTGAACATAAGAATTTTTTCCCTCCAGCATCTCATGGCTTAAAATCACTTGTTTGATAATTAGTAAAACTCTGCCAGATCTGCAGTCATAAAACTGGCTTTCTGCAAATTTGCTTCATGTCTTGTTGCTTCAGAAGTATTTGGAGCAAGACAATTAAGAAAATATCTAGAGAAAAATGGTATGTGAGTAAACAGCCATTGGTAAGAGAGCACTAATTTAGACATTTCTCTGCTTCACAGCAAAAACTACAGTATATACGTTTAGGAACGTACCTAGAATAGCAATTTAGCTGCTTTTAGCAACATGCCCAAGTGCTGTTTTGTACCCTTTCATCCTTACAGCACAGGTAATTAAGTTGATATTCCAACACAGCTTCCCCTACTGACCTTTTGGAAACAATGTGTTTTGCTGCATTAACAAATTAACTTCAAATCAGAGGCAGTTCCAGTAAATATGATCTTCATATAATTCAAATATACTTGCTTATCCCACTCTGGTGACAGATATTACCATCAACATTAAAAATGAAGCTCTGGCAAAGGGCAAGCAGCTGTTGTCTGCTGGTGAACCTCCACGTCAGTTATTCCTCACTGCCCTTTGCCTGGTCTTGCTGCAATTCACAGCACTGAATGCAGCCAAACCCCTCCCATGGGCAAATTTAATGGAGGGAAAAACTGCCCCTGTGCCTGTGTAGTTTTGCCTTATCATGCCATTCAGATCTGTGGGGTTCAGAAGCGTGGTGCCTGCTGCAATAGTAATTTCCCCAGTGAAAGCTATTTGTGTAGCATTTCAGGCAGTTTTCATATGGCAGTTTGCTCTTTGGCTTGCAAGTCCCATTATCTTCACCTACCTGAGTCAGAATTTCAGATTTAATCTCACAGATTACACATGAATATATAAGGTAATTTTTATTTTCACTTACATGAATTTCATGCTCGTCTAGTGGAACTAAAGCAATCCTTGCACACGATGTGCACTAGCGTGTCTCTAAATCGAGGCTTGGGTGAGCCTTAGGCAAACCAGTGCAGTCTGTCACAAGTCTTCCCTTGTCTAGAGGCAGAGCAAAGCTGCTGCCCCATCCTTCCTTCCTTCCTCCTTCCCTCCCTCCCTTCCTTCTCTACCTGAGTTCCTACAGGGAAGAGCATTGAGCTTAGCCCATGTGGTGTGTGTTTAGCACAGACTGATTTCAGTAAAAGAAGAGAGTTCAGTGAATGGGAGGACAAATATGGACGAGCAGCAGGATTAATGAGTGCTGCCACCCGCGGAAAGCTTAGGAAAGAGGAGGAGAACACAGGGAAGAGATGAGTGTAGGTAGCATGGTACCCTGGAGCTGCTCCTGTGGGATGGGGTTTGGTAACAGAAAAGGCTCTTCTGAATTGCCAAGGAAAAAAAGAAGTTATGTTATTTCACAGTCCCCAAGTAAAATGGAAGCTGAGGTGACCTCAGTACATCTTGATAACTCATGCGTTTATCATAAACCTTGGGAAATGCTGTTTTCATTAGTCCTTGGTCCTGGAGTCAAGTAATTAAGTGAGACTCTCAGCTCATATTAAGGAATAGAGATTGTGACCCTCTTGGAACCAGAAAAGTAAAAGCACTGTGGATTTACCCCGATCACTTAGGGAGAAAAAAAAATCTATATATCGTTATGATTTCTAGGCAAGTATCATGGTGTTTTAAGGTCTGACTTGTAATTGTTGGTCAATTAGGACTAATAGGAACAAAATAGTGCTGCACAGCCTAAGGGCTGCATGTTGGTTTGGGTCCAGGCAAGGGGAATATGTGACATGAGGTGATCTTGCTGTTGAGCTCCTCCAAGCTGCACTGCGCTGCTGATGCTCTTCATCCTCCATGTGCTGTCGGTCGCGTGCGCGGGTGCTCTGCAGTTCACACTGTAACGGGTCAGCTGGAAAGGTGCAATGTGAGCGGCCCTTCCAAGCACAGAGAGAGCTTTCAGATCCCCCAAAGCATTAAAAACTCCCTGTTATTGCTATTGCCGTAGCAGATAGGATTAACAAATCCTGTCATGCATTTTCTCAGACAAATACTGCTCAGGTGAGTAGGTGGGTGCGTGTGGCGCTGCCGCGCGCATGCGTTCGTGTCACTCGAGGTGAGCGGCCTGCCTTTACTGCAGGCTTGCAGGAGCTTGAGGTAACACTGCTCTGGTCTCCTCAGCTGCTGCTGTCGACGCTGTGCTCTTGCACAGATGTGTTTTCATTCGGAGCCGCCGGTGACTTTGTCTTCTTGTCTTCTTTCCTATGTCCATGCGCGCTTTGCTCTAGGCAGGGCACCCAAGCCTGCATGCAGTAGGGTGTGTAAGCACGGGTTCATCTTTAAGCGTATGGAAAGTTTAATTGACTTTGCCTCTCATTTGCTGGTCTTTGCTGGTTCGAGGCCTTTAGCGTAAGTCCTCGGATTTTAGTGGAAGCTCATCAAAAAATTGTACTTTGCCAGATACATGTTAGGATCCACCATAAGGGTCTGTGTTGTTGACCTGTATGAAATGTGTATGTCACGGAGGCAGGCAGCACTGCCTTTCCTGTTATGGCACTTGGTGGGTTGTGAGATTGTCCCTGCTTTGAAACATTTGTGTTCCGTGAGGTGAGTATGAGCGTAATTGCATGTTGTCATCTGCTCAAACTGCTTTTGCCACAGAATCAGAGGTGTTTCGTGTAGGTGACTATTACTTTAATTTACCTATGACTTAAGTTTCCACTTTGATACAGCAGCAAAGACTCCGTCCGCCTCGGCCACCGCCTCCAAAGATACAGCGTTCTTCTAGGCCCGTGAGTAGCTGGGAGTTTTGTTTCACTGCCACAGCTTAACACTGCCTGAATTGCACTCTTGGTAGCATTACTAAATCTTAATAGTTTCGACTGTTGAACTTTGCAAAAAAAGCAACGTGAGAATTATGCTCCTAAACTGCCTCCTTCTCTGCTGCGGTGCAGCCTGGGACCTGCATTTGTTCTGCTTTTCTTTGACGAGTTCTGCAACTTTCAGTCAGTTCTGCAGGTAACAGATGCTGCTGTTGCAATGTTTGTTTTTACTTTTGTGGTGATTTCTTAAACCAAAATTCTTGCTGGGCTGGCATAAGTTTTTAGCCAGTGAGTTTTTGAAGACTTGCACTGAGCTCTAATATGAAAGGAAGCAGAAATCTGAAGATAAAGTATTTATTCTCCCCAAGTTCTGCTTTAAATTAATTTGGGATGCTTACTTTTTCTCTGTGGAATAGATGAGTGAATGCATCTAAATAGAATGAAGTCTGTGTTTGGGTATTAGGGTGCTAAAAGTACATTGTGGTCGATAGACATCCATACTATGCTCATTTACACTGCTAGCTGAGAATCTCCTTAATTACGTGGGATCAGCATTGCCGGCGGAGCGTCTTGGCGAGGAGAGTGACTCTCATGGAAGAACCACACAGCAATTATTCCCAGTAGCTACCTTAGGCACAGAAAGCTAAGCACTATTTCATTCAAAACACGGTAGGCAAATTGTTACGTTATCTATACTAGGTGCCTTTAAAAATGGAAACTTTACTAGATCTGCATCGGGGACTCTCTTTTCAGTTCAGGAAATACATAGTTTTGAAGGGGTGTTGCTTTTGCAGCAGGCTTGGGAGGTGTTTAATCCCATTCAGGATTTTTGCATCATGAATTTTAATTCCACCAAAAGGCAAATACAGCTTATTCCTTGCTTCCATGTACGTTGATGCACACGTCTAAGAGAGAGATGCAAGTTTTCAAATCTAATCTTGCTAAAACTTGTTTAAAGTATTTAGTTGTAGATGAGCCGGCGACTGGTTAACAAATGCACTTGGGTGTGTTTTAACTTTTGATCTGTGGTGCATGTTCCTCGGTACGTTTCAGTAGCATGTATTCCTTCTCCTCCTTCTCTTTAACTCTGGGTGTTTGACTTAACAGAGTTGTTCTGGACTCCTGCACTGAAGGCTGTGTCCTGTGTGTGTGCAAAGGGTAGCGGGCACTCTGCTTGTGTGCGTTCTCCTCGATCTGCCCGGGGTGGGAGACCCTCCCGCACACACCGCGCTGGGAACAGACTTCCCTGCTTCTCCGGGGGCTGCTGGGCGCTTCCCAGGGGCTCCGGAGCCCGCCGGGGTTCCCAGCACACGAGTCCCGAGCAGGACTGCGCAGATTGAACAGTTTATTGCCCCAAAGTGGATCTTGCTAAGGCTGTTTAATCTCCCAGCTGTGGTACATTAATAGTCCTCAGTATAATGTGCTTGTGTCAACTGTCTCTGCTCCTAATGTGATTGATATAAGGTTGGAAATGTAATAATAAAAGCTCCTGTTGCATTCATCTAGCTGTGCCAATAAGTGGAACAGAAATGCTTCATTCATCAAGAGGAAATTCCAGATAAATGTAAATGATTATAATCACTCCCCCAAAATATGCTTGTACCAAATATGCATAAATTTGTTGTTGTTCAGAACTGTTATTTGGCTTTTAATAGATGAAATGCATTTTCATGTATGTAAATAACACTTTGCGGGCTGCTTTTTCACCCTCTTAATCTTGGCACACGTTAGAGGTGGGTATGGGGAAGCAATTTGTCCTCGTGTTTTACGGCAAGCCCTGACGGAGGAGGCCGGGTCCCCCTGCTCCTCCAGCCAAGTCCATGTAATACCGAAGTTGCCGAGAAATCCCTACTGTTTTCAGGAAGTATCTGCTACCAGGAGGAATCCATGGGCACTAGTGCTTGCAGCATGAGTCATTACCGATGATAAAAAGAAAACACAGACCAAAGAAAGGTTAAGGAAGCCTAACAGATATGTTCTTCACATTCTGCTGTTGGGAAATGAATCGTGAAGGTACTGTGGAAGAGAGAAGGCTGCTGCTTATGATTAATGCAGTTCTGTTTGGATTAATGGAGGCTCTTTAGAACTTCATTCAGTTTTTTAAAAACGAGTAATAATGAAATAATTATGCAAAAAAAGTTGATGAGGACTGTAATAAGCACATTTAACCCTTCTGTCCTGGATAGTGACCTTTATTCTCCTGGCTGTATGCTCATATAATTGGATTTCTTTCATACTTTTGCATTTGATATGCATTTAACCCTGCCTATTTGGCTACATAAGGCTCAAAATCCAGCAAGGAATTGGCTTGGTTCCTGGCTTTTCCCTGCTTTTCCCCGTGAACAATGCTCGAAATCCCTCTTAGCATGTCGCCCCGCACTTCACTGCTCCGCGAGCCCCCTGGAGCCATCCAAAACTCTCATCTTTCTCCCTCCTCACCATCACGCCCCCAGGGTACCACCCAAAAGGTGAAAGTGTTCACAGCATGATGACAAGCCAGCTTTACACATCATCTTCCAGCTCCGATTTAATTAAACAGGTTTTTTTCTTCCTCTCTCTTTCCCTTTCTCCTTCTCATGCGCTTCCCCCCAGCCGCTCTGGCTTCCCTGCCCCTCCTGCACGCGCTCTCCCTCGCTCCCTCGCTCTGTTTTATCAACCCTAATGAAGCAGTATTCTTCATCGATCCTGCTGATTGCCAGCCCATTCCTTTTGTTTGTTGGCACCGAGCCATTCAGCCGCACTCTGACAGCTCAGCTCGTCTAATTAGCTCTGTTGTTCTTTTCCCCATGTTTCACCACGTTGCAAGTTCAGTTGAAGTTGCCACAAACTTAATCCTTCCATTCCTGCCATAAATTCACATTCTTAAGCTGTCTTTATTGTAGAGAGGAACAGCCCTGTGTGGGGACTGATCTTCAAGACCTTAACATCTGACCTTTTTATAAACCTTTTTTCCTAAGGAATAGTGGCAGCGCATCTCTGAATTTCTTCACCATTTCTGTTGTACACTGTTTCCTTTGAAATGAAAATTCAAGACAATAATCCTGCTGTTACCTCCTGCATACCATTGTGAAGTGTTTCAGCACTAGGCACAGTCTGCTGGCTTTTTCCTTGCAAGAAAATATGATTCTTAAAAGCTAGCAGAGGTGGGGGAAACCCTCATCTATCATTGCAAACAAATCCAGCCGTCATCCGAAGAGTGCCTCGGCCTGGCCGCTAGCACCGTCCCTTCTGCTGTGGCTGTTAAGGGCTCGCAAGCAGCGGTGGAGTCGTGTTCCTTCGTTTATTTGAGGGCTTTGGGGATTCCTGGTGCAGCCGGCATTCAGCTAAGCCAACACATTAGGCTTTGTTTCCCCTAAGCCAGCTCTTGCCTAACAAAAGCTGCAGAGCTTGTTTGTGCAGCCTGCCCTGGTGCTGCGCAGGGGCATTCCCGGCTTGGCGCACAGGGCTGCGCTCGGCAGCGGGATTCCTCTTCGGCATGGGGAGGCACCACGCACCCTCCGCGGTGAGCACGTGCTTATTCCTTTCCTTGAAGGGAACCCTGTTTGCTTCTGGAGGTATATGGGAAAATTAAGCTTGATTTCAGAAGATGATGGATATGTCACTTAAGCCTGGACTGATGGCAGCATCACTTCCGCAGCAAGCAGACAACAGAAAGAAGATCCACCAACATAGTGTAGCAGCTGTGGGGATAAACCCAACTACTGAAAAGAGCCATTATTTTTAATGAAAAATGAGCAGGCTTTTCATGTTCTAGCATGTAGGCTATGCCGTGGTGTTCCTAGTGTTCCCTGCAACGAATCCTTTGCTTCAGAAGCTGGTTTGTTAGGAACGAGCAGGTACACAGTGGTGCTAGAGCTCAACTCTGATTTCCAATAGAATGTACAACCAAACACTGGGGTTTCTGTTTCTAATGTTTCAATTAACTATTTTGATGAAGTTCACATTTAGGAAATCTTTTACCAGAGGCTTAACCTGTACCAAGCAGGACGCTGAGGTAACTGTTCAGTTCTGGGCTTATAAGCTAATGGTCAGTGACAAAAGCGAGTCAGTTGAGACTCAGAAATGTGTTTTTTTTTTATGGAAAGTCTTTTAACAAGTTAAAAGACTTGGGTGCTGTGGTTCACATTAATGCTGACAAAATTGTAACTTAATTGTAGCACATAAAAATAAAGTTTAAAAGCAATTCTAAATGGAAGATGCTTTTAAGATAATGTCATTTTTGCTTTTTGTTTGATCAGCTTGAAGTATTTGATGAAATTTCTTCCATGTAATAGGTCCGGCCTCCAAGACCTCATGTTGTTAAGAGACCTAAGAGCAATATTGCTGTGGAAGGGCGAAGGACTTCGGTTTCGAGTCCCGAACAGTAAGTGCTTTGCTGCTCTGCTTCTCCTTAGATACTCTGATGTTTACAGACTCGTATGTTCAAAATTGGACCCGGCCAAAGGAGAGAACAAAAGCACAAAAACCTATAAATGGAAGTAATAGTTTCATGAACTAGACAAAAAAAAAAAAAGGTTATTTTTAAATTTTCGGGTGTTTTACAAGAGTAGTGAAAAAGCTAATATTACTTGGGAAATCTGGTGTGTCAAGTCGCACTCAATCTGACCAGCACGCTTAGTGCAAGTTTTTGGGTTCGGGGCAGTGTGTTCGTTGTTGTTTGGGGCAGGAGGGCAGGCGTTTGCACGGTGCTGTACACCACATTGCTCCGGGCGCTGCCCGCGCCGCTGCGGCTTTGCCGGGGTCCTGCTCCAGCGCGGGCTGCGGCTCGTGCTCGTTAGCGCTCCGGCAGCCGCCGCTGCGTGTCGAGCTTCGGAGCGAGGCCTTCGGAGCTCCACTGTCCTGCTTAGCACGGGCTCATTTGTCGATGCTTTGGGTTTGCCCGCGGAGCCAACAGGGTAACGTGCCAGGTAAGTTGTGCTGCTGGAGCCGCCTGCCAGCGCCGCGAGCGCGTCGCCTTCACCAGCTCTGCTGCTCTCACAGCCACAGGGATTTTTCAGATGCTTCCATGAAAGTCACAAATGGAAGCACTTTTTGAAAAGATGCTACTGGGTATTGTTGCTGATTTTCATAATATTTAGCCGTAATTGAGTTAAACAGTATGCCATCAAGTAAAAAAAGTAAGAGGAAAATGAATATATGGTAGCTTACCAACATAGCATAAAATACACTATTGCCTTTAGCCATATACCTGTATGCTGCATTGATATCCTGTTTTGGTTCAAAGTTATTTGGATTCTTTCTGAGTGTAGCTATTTAACGTGTTTGGAAGTACAAAAGAGCACCAAGTTCTGCTCCAATACAAAGTCTGGTAGCAGTTAGCTGAGTTTCCTATGTGTCTGAATATGCAGGTTGCCTCATTTCAGTTCTGAATTTGGGAATCTTAAAGGCTGGGCGTTTTGCCAGGGGCCGTTGATCTTAGGCAGAAAAGGTGTCTTGAAAACTACGGCTGGAGCAGGGACAGAGCCGTCTGCTCTCCTGCGGGAGCAATTGAGCATGAGCTGAAGCAGCAGGCAGCAGGGCCAGGATCCGTTTTCCAAGTCATGTGAAAAGCTTAAACTGGTGTTTCCTGCGCGTGAGGCATCTTTGGTTTCCTCCTTGGACAGAGGAATGCTCTAGTGTTTTCCAGCTGTCCTCTGTATAATTTGGGATGGCCAAATTCTTCCCATTGAGAACACGTACTGAAATGTTCATATCGTGAGGATCCCTTACACCAGCATGGAGAGATGTTTGGGGGTTTAGGTAAAAATGAATGGTCACTTTTAAAATACACCGAATGATTTATCCGTTTTGTGGTGGAATTTGGTTGCCCTCTTGTGGAGCAGATTGCAAATCCTGCAGCAGTTCACATGGGGTTGTGGGTATGGGGTAGCTGCACAAAGGTTATAATGGATTTTAGGCTTTTTTTTAAGTCTTTCTTTCTTGAATGGATAATCTGATGGCTCAGTGCATACCTGGAGGACAACTAAATCCACTTAGCTGTGATACACATTTCAGGTGGTAGATGAGGCATGTTTGGAGCTAAAACCTGCCTGGCATTCCGGCGTGGCATACTGCTCACATTTATTCTCAATTCCTAACAGTAGCAGAATAGAAATAACATAAAAAATGGTTCATAAACGTAGTATTTGTGTTAGTACTACTAGTAGATACTGATGGCTCAGTGCATACCTGGAGGACAACTAAATCCACTTAGCTGTGATACACATTTCAGGTGGTAGATGAGGCATGTTTGGAGCTAAAACCTGCCTGGCATTCCGGCGTGGCATACTGCTCACATTTATTCTCAATTCCTAACAGTAGCAGAATAGAAATAACATAAAAAATGGTTGATAAACGTAGTATTTGTGTTAGTACTAGTAGTAGATAAAATTAATTTTTTTTTGATTGAAGATCATTGCACTGAGTTATAAGTGACTCTGTACAACTCAGCTTCTTTCACAGAGTGAACCGCAGGGCTGCTGCATTGAGAGGGGATCAGTGACAATATGCAAAAGCAATGGAAGATCTTTTGGTAGCCATAGGTGACTGACTTTTCTTCCTGAGTAATTTCCCTGAGATTCCCTCCATCCCTCAGACGTGGAATGAAGCCAGGAGCGCTCCTCCTAGCAGTGATCCTGGCGGCACAGTGCCCGCCTCGGCCCTTCCCAGCTGAGCTGCAGCGCCCCGCACAGCTGCGGCGCGTTAGTCCTTGCTGTGATTGCCCTCAGGTGGCAGGACGGGCCCTGGCAGCTCTCCTGCCGCGTGGCTGGTGGCAGAGCCCTGTGCTGGAGCCAGCAGTGGCTGCTTGGAGGGTTCCACAGGAGCGAGGCGGCAGGAGGGAGCAGGGCTGGCGGGGACGGGCCCCGCGGCGCTGCTGTCCTTCCACCGCGTCCTCCGGACACAGTCTGTGAGACCTGTTTAGCTGTAACAAAAGGACATCGGCTTTCCAGGGCTGGTGGGGCTGGGCCCCGCGGCGCTGCTGTCCTTCCACCGCGTCCTCCGGACACAGTCTGTGAGACCTGTTTAGCTGTAACAAAAGGACATCGGCTTTACCAGTCTCAGGTAGTGCTAAGCTGAATCCAAACCCACCTTGGCTTAAAGCCTGATGGAGGAGGACTAAAGCAGCATTCTCCTTTAGTGTTTTCTGTACGCTGAACAGTTGAATTTCTCATCTTTTAGACTAAAAAGCAAA